ACAAAAAAATCATTTAATTCAAACATTAAATTCGATATTTAAAGTCCATTTTAACTGATTCATTTTACACAGGATCGGCGCGAAGAGGTCAAAACAGACGAGATATTTTTCGAAGTGGGTGAAAAAAATATGAAAAAATGGACTAGAATATCTCATATAAAAATTTACAAAAATTTAACGATTTAGAATAATGTTACTTTTTTGACCTCAAAAATGCGTTAAAATTACGCCTTTTAATGAGGTCTCTCAAACTATACCATGTTAATTTCAGAGATGTCCATCGCGGTTGAAAAGTAACCGTTGTCGCGATGAATATTTTGAAAAATTTTGAATTTCTGCGAACTTAACGATTTCAAATTAAGATTTTATTGCTAAATGACTAGATTCGTTCAGTTTTATACTTTTATACTTGCACTAACGAACACTCAAATTGCGCTAAAATTTAGGCATCTTTTTCATTCTTTTTGCAAAGAGCATCTGCCGCTGCCGCGCTGCGAAAGCCATGGTAGTAGCAGCAGCGCCGCCATGGACATCTCTGATGAATATTGCGACACATTTTTATCGCTGCTAGAAGACGAACCTGACTTCTCCATCGTGTTATTTGGTCAGACGAGACAATATTTAAACTCAATGGACATGTTGATCGTCATAATTCTGTCTATTGGGCAACTCATAATCCAAATGTTATATTTGAACAAACAATGCAAGCAGAAGGGCTTATTGTATGGGCTGGAATTTGGTCTCAGGGTGTGATCGGTCCTTACTTCTTCGAGAACATGGTGACTGGTCAAAGTAATGTTAAAATGTTGAATGATTACTTCTATCCATTCTTTTGTGGCGTATCAGATAACGAATGTTTTTTTTTCATGCATGATGGCGCGCCAGCACACTATGCGTCTAATGTTCGCGATTGGCTAGCCGAAAAGTTTCCAGCAAGGTGGATCGGTCGCCGCGGTGCACTTGATTCGCCTGATCGAGCACCTAATCTTACTCTTGCTGACTATTTTTTGTGGGGTTATTTGAAAGATATTGTTTTCAAAAGAAGCATCGAACCTTAACCAGTCTCAAACAATCAATTATTTCAGCCTTTTCAGCAATAGATTCTGATCTGTGCAAGAAAGTTGGCGAATCAGTATCAGAAAGACTTCAAAAGTGCATCGATGCTAATGGACGTCAATTCGAACATTTGAATTAACATGTTCTATGATCTATCTCATTTTGTATTCATTGTGATTGATATAATACACTTTCGTTTGATCCTCCCATGTCACTATCTGGAAAAAAAGTCTTGAAAATGCGTATAAGTCACCTTATAACATTTTATAGAACTCGCAATAAGTAGAAAATTCGTATTGATGTTATCTTAGTACATAGGTAGGAACATTGATTTGCAGCAGTTGTAGAGCCTTGAGTTTGTAGTCACTTCTATAAATTTCAGCTCGATCGGACAGACTATTGCTGCACTTCGGGCCTCACTTTCTTACGCAGCCAAATACGCTCCTTTAGGCTTTCAAGGGTAAAAGTATTATTCATTTTAGAAAGACATTTCACACTCTTCTGTTGTTAGTTTATATATCATTCGATAGAGAATTTAATTCGGAACAAAACTCTCTTATTGACTTTTCATCAAAAACCAAGTATTAATTGTAAAAATTATAAAATACCGCGAGCTTGATGTCATATATTTAGAATACTATGTACTTTCGTTCTCCAATATTTCTCGCAGAACCGAAGCCAGTATTCTAGTATCAGTATGAAACATCGAGTTCTATAAAAATTATAAAATGATTGATCATAAAACGCTCTCTTCATCCTTGGTACATGTGAGATAACATTTGGAATACACATGACAATATCTCGCAGTTGATAGTTGATAACGCCAGTGTCTTTTACTTTATCCATCATCGGATAAATG